ATAAACTGCATAAACATGGACGCAGTCTAGTATATGTCACCAGCTGGTTACTTTAGAGGTGTTGTGAAGCCCAACGATGATGGTCGCCATATTGGAAATGTTATTTCTAGCTAACTTTCGATCAATCTAGTGAGGGAGTCCTTCAGCCTCCAGGCAAACAGCAACAGCTGTCAGTGGACTCAGCCACGACCCTAGTTATGCATATTTATAAATAACTGTAGGCCCCTTAATATCATCAAAGTGGATTAGTTGTGAAAATTCACCCCAGTTCAGTTTGTAACCAATCAAAAAAATTAGATACAAGGACCTAACTGTTTCTTTGTACCAGGCCTTTCTTCTACCAAGAAAAACAATTTTATCAACAAGCAATGCTTTAAAACAGCATTCATAGATTTGACCTGTTGGAAGCCTTAGCTTATCATGTTGTTTTATCACAACAGCCAATAGAATCTCTTCTGTTAGTCCTCAGTGTAAACCTCTAATGACCCCATACAGAGATCAAGTTAACATGAGAGGTATCCGAACCGTGATCACTGCTGGACTTGACTTCACTGAGAACCACAAACACTAGATCTGTGTGAACTTTGAACTGATGGATGACCCTGCTCTGAACATTACCCAATACTGTGTTTTGAGCTGTACGGGGGCTTTTACATTCAGGATCTGCTTTACCCTTTCATGCTCCTGACCCAACCTTGTATGTTATGTGCAATGAGGAGAGCCTCTGCAGTATTATATAGGATTACTATAGTCTGGAATGACCCGCTGCCTTTACCACAGATATACGATCACCAGGTAGGAATACCTCGTCTCAGCTATCTGACATGCACTTTGAGATCCTGTCACCCTTAATGGAAAAGTGAGCATATGGGCTTTTCAGATATAATTACTTCCAACATGTGATATGAACACGTGCGGTTTTCTTACTTTGGCACTTTCAAAAACAGACAGAGTGCATAAACAAACTTCTACCTGGTGCTGGATCAAAAATCTAATGAAAAGGAAAAGTCTGCAAAGTTTTGTGATGTTGTATTTGTCAACTATTAATCAACAAGCAAAACATGTCATATAAAGAGAAATGTATCATTCAGGCCGTTATCGGTATGAATTATTTTTTTATTCGGCCAAAAAATGTCATCAACGTACCTTCAGCAAAGAGCTGTATTATAGGAAATAATAAAGACACAATACACACTGATGTGTAGTATTAATGAGAACTGTTTAATAATATAAAAACACATTGTTCAAAATGATTAACTTCAGAGTGAATTAGCAAAAACAGATATTCAGCATTCTTTAAATTCTTTAAATGGAAAAAAAACAACATTAATATGTTTGTTTTTTAACTCAGCGCATGTTTCCTGGAGTAAATTTTACATCATTATGAATCTGAATTATTTTTGACTTATGCCATTTTTGTGTTTTTGTCATACCATTCCTTTTTGGAGAAATGGAGATTCTAAACAGAGCTAAATGGCAGGTAATATTAGAATTACATTTACAAAGTGGCTAAGTGAATACGCAGCTCACTAGTTCATCAGATCAACTTAGACGATGTCAGTGTAAAGTCTAAGCCATTTGTTGCTGACCCCCATTATATCCTAGCCTTTATATCAATGCTATCTGTGATTCGACATATTCACACTATCAACAGAAGACAACATTAAACTCTAATTTCAGGACTTTAGCAGGATTGAAATGTTACTTTTGCTGAGCTCAGGAAGCCTGTTTCACATCAGGGTTGAAACCATTAAAGTCTTGAACTAATGTTTTATTTCCTGTAAGAACATCATCATAAAGGCATTTATGGCTCAAAGTTGAGCCTTATAAAGGTGTGCAGGAGGTGTTTATACCTATGCAGAGTCAGTATAGTTCACACTCAAGCATGCTGATGCAAAAATTGCTTTGTCAACACAGTCTGTTAACGACTAAGGTGACAGTGTCATGGGGAGGGAGGGAGGAGGGATGATGGATGGAGGGCTACAAAGAAGGACAGAGGGAGGGATGTTATCCCTCTGTTACTCCGTGAGGACTCCTCAGACCAGTGACACTGCAGTAACTGCAGTCCATCTCACCCATTTACCTCCCCTCTCCCACTTTTACTGACACAAATCGTTTTGCGGAGGGGAATGGATCGATTATTTACCCTCTCAGTCTGACGCGCACAGTCTATGATCGCCCCCCCCTCACCATCCATCTTCCTGTCCCTCTATGCCTGTAGCAAATTCTATTATGAAGTGTTTAAATGGCAGGTCATGCCTCAGCTCATTGCGCTCTCAATGACATGTCCTGGTTTTTACAGGATCACAGAGGGAAAAGATCCCTATAAACGGAGTGTGTTGAGTCAGCTGAGTGATGTTTGTGTGACCATGAGTCTGTCCCTGCATCCCTATATGTTTGTGCAAACCTTGATATCTATGAAGAACAAGAGACAAGTTTATATCCACTGAGGCATATGTGCGTGATGAATCCATGAGGACATTAAATGAGGTTCCTGAAGGTGACTGCGTGTGATGATGTATAGCAAAGCATAGGCTGTGAAGTCTTAAAGACAGTGTTCTGTGACCTTGAAGCCATGTGCCTGCAGTGGTGCTGCTCACGCCGCAATGTTACAGGGGAGCAGCAGGCAGCCAACTCCAGGCTGCTGCAGGACGAAGAGTGAGAGGAGGGAATGATTACTGACTTCAGGCTACTGTCTTCTCTATCGGGTAACACAATATTCAACCTATGATGCCAAATTGGCCGCCCTTCTGAAAAAGTACAGGATACACTTTGATTAAAGTTTTCACTCCTCAGGAGAATTCAGCAGAGCTAAAAAGAGGAAGTGCAGCCGTTCTGCGGTTTGAATTTCACCTTTTAATTAGTTTGTTTTAACTATTTCTCAAAGGTACAGAGCTACTTTATTAATCTGACAATCCTTCAATAGCTGGCAGTGATGTTGGAGTTGGCAGGGGCAAAAGCAATGAAACAAACACATCTGCAGGATTTTCTTGGAAAATAACTTTTTGCACACTCTCTCTAACACATTTAAACCCTCTTCAGAATCTATATGTAACACCTCTGGGGGAAATGTGTGCCCAGAATAAATTACCTCAGTAAATAACTAAAGCATTTATCAATAATATTGATACTACTGTACAGGCTAATTCCTGTTTTATAGATTGCCTTGACAAACAAACAAAGAGGAAAGAAAGAAAAGTCAGACGAAGACTTATGAAAATATGGAAATATCTAATGGAACATATAAAGTGAACATTTCTGACAGTTTGAAATGACAATGTTATTTCAGAGAGTGTGGAATCAGATCAAAAAGCACATTCAAGTCAGCGTGTTTGTTATTGAGAATGTAAATAATGATGGATCAAAAGCCCCCAAAGGCAGATGTGCGCTGCTGTAGGTATTGAAAGCTGTGACAATAAGGTAACAGGGGAAGAATACAGTTTAATCCCCCTGGTGAGGGTGGATTGGCTGATCCTGCATGTGGATGCTTACTGTGCAGGAAAGAGCGGGTCCCACTCTCCCTCCAACAACGCCAAACAGCGATTGGCTTCCGCAGAGTAAATCTCCTATCAGGGAGCTACCTTTAACGTCCTCACTGATCACACTGACGAAGGAGGGAGGAGGGAGAACAAAGCCAGGTGACCCCCACTTTCAAACATAGAGCGAGTCGTCTGCATGTGCTTGCCCTTATTTGTGTGTGTGTGTGTGTGTGTGTGTGTGTGTGCACGCATGTGGAAGTTTTCGAATGTGTGTGGGTACCTCTGGCATCTCTGGTTTCCTATAGGGTGTTAGATTACCCAATGGGAGCTTTAATAGAGCCAGAGACACTCTTGATTGTGAGTTTGGATGAGGGAGAGATTGAAGGGAGGAAGGGGGAGCACCGCAGAACTGCCAGGAAGGGTATAGAGGGCACGACAACTTCTACAGAGGCTTGAACACGGGTGAGTGATGCGGACATCTGCATGCAGCTGGATTTAAACTTTTTATTTAAACAAAGATATATTTGCATGTTTTTGGTTGCTTTGACATTCAGATCTGGTAGGGGTAGTTATTCCAGTGACCTTATTGTGTCTTTCAATGTGTTGGGCATGTTAGGATGAGGGTAAGTTTGGGTAGAAGATTTAAGTCTCTTTTAGAAGTGTCTAAGAAGCAGGCACTTCTCTGTTTTCTCTTCCGATTGACCTTTCTCTTGGGACTCAGTAACCTCTCTTTGCTGACAAGGCACAATCAATACATTTATTTTCTGCACAAGCAGTATCACAATGTCCTTACATAAGAAGATTCAATCCTGTACCCTGGACTGTTATGTTATCTGCGACAATGCAAATGGAAATAGAGGCAGATAAGTCTCTCTGACTGCGCAGGGCCCTCGGTGTCAAGTGGACACAAAGGTTGCAGCTTGAAAAACGCGAGTCAGGGTTTGGTTACCTGTCCGAAGAAGACAAACGTAATGATAAACAGCTCCTTAGAGATAAAGTAAAGGTGATGCCGATATACTATCCTGAATAGGGTTTGGGTTGACCAAGAGTGAATTAAGAAAGTGATGTAAATACTTTATTGGCTCACAGGAATAAATGTGTTTTGGTTTTTCATGTGTTTCTGCTTTTAGTCCCAAGTTAAAGCTCAGATGTTTTTTTCCATTAAACATGTTTAGTTTTGCAGTCCATGATCAGCAATAATACCAGCCATTATCAGGGTAAGCACTTTACAGCTAAACTTGCAGAGTTTGTGTTTGTTTTAGGTCATGAGAGAGAAATGGGGAGAAAGAAATAACTGTATAAGCACAGTATCGGATAGCAAACTCTCTGCTGATGCAATCAGGTTGTGACAGAAAAATCTCTTTACCAACAGAACTGTTTTGCACCATTTACCAAAATATAACTCAACTTTGCCTCCCCCCCCCACCCCACCCCCTCGATCTTTTCACAGATTACACAAAGGACCGAATCTAAAAGGAGCATTCAGCTGCCTGAATGATAGTCAGAAAGAGGGAGGTCCTGCCAGGATCTTCAGTGTGGCACTGGTTGTGGGGTCCCCTCTGTCTCCAGCGCTTAAACCAGGCTGATAGACAGAGCTGTGGCTAACCAAAAGACGGGGAATGGAGGTGCCTCTTGTTAACTTTGAGAACATGGATGATGTTGGCATCAACCTGGGAGACCCGAATGACTCGGGGTATCCGACTTCACCCACATCAGAGGCTCCCGATCAGAATCTTTTACCCCACCGTTTAAGTTCTCCTCATCAGTCGCCACACAGAGGACGACGTCGCCATCAGTCTGGCCAAGAAGGGCTGTCACCATCTACTCCTCCAACCCTGACCACCAAGGCAAACTCCAGCAGCTGCAGCTTACTCTCCAATCTAAAGCTCCTGGTCAACAGTGAGTCTCCCACTGACAGCGTCTTTAGTAAAATGGCAAAGGATTGCTACGAGAATGAAGATTTGTTTGAAAAGCACTTCATGGAGGAAAAAGATGAGAAGGTTGTCATCAATATCTCAGGCCTGATGTTCGAGACCCAGCTCAGCACCTTGAACAAGTTTCCAGAGACACTTCTCGGTGACCCCATGAAGAGGATTACCTACTTTGACCCAATGAAAAACGAGTACTTTTTTGACAGAAACCGCCCATCTTTTGATGGTATTCTGTACTACTACCAGTCAGGAGGAAGACTTCGCAGGCCCGCCAATGTTCCTTTGGATGTTTTTGCAAATGAAATTGTTTTCTATGAGTTGGGTCATGAAGCGATGGAGCAGTTCCGTGAAGACGAAGGGTTTATCAAAGAGCCAGAGGTCCTTTTACCCACCAACGAACTCCAACGACAATTCTGGCTTCTGTTTGAATACCCAGAAAGCTCCAGTGCTGCCAAATCCGTCGCTCTGGTTTCTGTCCTCGTCATTGTCATTTCCATCTTTATCTTCTGCTTAGAGACCCTGCCAGAGTTCAGGGAGGATCATGACTTTGTCCCGGGTTTAACTGAACTCATCAATGGGACCAAAGATGGTTCTGCTCCTCGTCCTGCTGCTAAAGACGTGATGGCGTACATCACAGACCCCTTTTTTATTGTGGAGACTATTTGCATTATTTGGTTCTGCTTTGAAGTCGGTGTCCGTTTTGTGGTATGCCCAAGCAAGAGAGATTTCTTCAATAACATCATGAATACCATCGACATAGTCTCTATAATTCCCTACTTTGTAACCCTGGGAACAGAGCTGGCCACGACCCCTGATGACGACATGAACTCAAGTCAGAACATGTCCCTGGCAATCCTAAGAATCATACGTCTGGTTAGAGTTTTCAGAATTTTTAAGCTCTCCCGACACTCAAAAGGACTTCAAATCTTGGGGCAGACCTTGAAAGCCAGTATGAGGGAACTTGGACTGCTTATCTTCTTCCTTTTTATAGGGGTCATCCTATTCTCTAGTGCCATCTACTTTGCTGAAGTGGATGAACCCCAGACACAGTTTGTAAGCATCCCTGATGGCTTCTGGTGGGCTGTGGTGACAATGACCACTGTGGGATATGGAGACATGTGCCCAATCACAATGGGAGGCAAAATGGTTGGCACCCTCTGTGCCATTGCTGGAGTCCTGACCATTGCCTTGCCTGTCCCGGTCATCGTCTCCAACTTTAACTACTTTTACCACAGAGAAACTGAACAGGAGGAGAAACAGATTATGGATGCAGCAGCTGAGGCTGCACAGAAGATGTCAGCTGCTAACAAGTATGGAAGCACACCTTCACTTAATAAAAGTAATGGCACCTGGCAGAACGAGAAAAACGGCATGCACTGATAGAGAAACTTAAGTATTTATTGATGCTGCATGCATGGACAACATGGACGAATCAAACATATCCAGAAGTAAGAAGCGCTGGGTGATCAGTCTGTCTTTCTCACTATTTTGTACTCCAAACATGGCAGGATATATTGTTACAGTATTAAAAAGGCACTGTTGGGTGAGACAGCCTTTATACCAGTTGTCTGTCTGCTTGTGGATGTGTCAAAAGTGCAATTAACACAACTCACCAACTACTACTATGTCAGTTCATTTTCATGACAACAAGTGAAAGGCATAATGGTCATCTTTCATCCAGTGAAATTTGAAGAAAATGGTGATGGCTCATTAGTACTATAAACATTTCACCTTGAAAATGCAGATCATTACAGTAACTATAACAGTGGTGTAGGCAGTGTAAGTTGTGAATCTGATCAAAATGTCCTTGAGGTCTGTATAACAGTAAGTTTATCCCACAAAAGAAACCTTAAACGGTTCTGATAATTATAGAAAAGTAAACTGGAAGCATCCTCACAGCTCATATTACATCACAGTTCCATATTAGTCCACACCTTGTCATATTCAGCGAAATCTAGATAGAACTTGGCAGGATTTTCAAGGTCAGGCAACGTGTCCAGTGTAAGGCAAGAGGACGGCAACGCGCACATTGTCTTATCAGCAGATCTATAGTTGTGAATGCTCAGGTAGCAGAGCTTCTCCTTATGACACAGTGTAATAATATCTGTGTGATAAATAGCTGTCACGTTTGCATGTCTGCTATTAATCTCATAGATAAAAGTAGCAGAAATAACTGAAACTTTGAAACTGTTAAACATTTACTGTAGTATAGTGAATGTAGTAGTTGCATGCAGCAGTCTCAGCTTTTGTAATTAGAGGTTATTTTATATCGACAAAGTTTTTTATTATGTTGCATCTTTCACCAGATTGAGCAGGTTTAGCTGTATAAAACATGCTACTATAATGTGAATGTACCCTTTAAGAACCATATCAATTCATTGCACTTAACATTTATTTTCCCTTCATAATGCTGAAGCACTTTTGGAGCTATAAATAATAGGCAGTTTTCAGGGGAAACACGTTAATTAAATTGTGTAAAAAAGTGAAAAATACATATTTGTTATCAGGCTTAGAAGGGGAGTAATAAGATGTTTGCACTCATGTACTGTATTTGCTCCATTCACTTTTTTTCTCTCTCATTATAATGCATGGTGTAGTATTAGTACGCCGAACTAAGGCTAAAATCTATCGGTAACTGAACATTTGAAATATCAAAATATACAATTGTATTAATCATAATCATGTAGTGATGATCATTATAATTGAGATAGAGAAAGACAATATATAGCGTGGATTTATGAAATGAGGAAAACATGAATAGGTACAATATATGCATGCCACATTCCAATCTTGAAAATGTACTGTATGTGAGTTTATTATATATATAAATACAGCTTGTATAGAAGTGGCAGTGGATGTAGTTGTAACACAATCAATGCCTTTCTAATAACCCTTCAATATGCAATAATGATGAGATGTGGGTGGAAAACGAAGTGTTGTGTTTTTCACCCACTGAAAGAGCAATACTTTTAATAAGTTAATCATAAAGCAATAAGGTGACATCAGTTGCTCACGTTGGTACTCAGCACTTTACTAAGTTATAACGCACTTAATATATGAGGACTGTTACTGTATGTGTCAACACTGTGAAGTATACAGTTTCATAATTTGCAATGTTTTATTTATCCTGTAAAGAGTGCCTTTCATTAAACATGTATCCTTACTGGTGCAGGCTTCCTCTGTTGATTTCGTCTATGGGATGAATTGTTGTTGTGACTTTAGATGTTGAATATTCCAAATTTTGTTTTGAGGAGCACCTTTCAGTTTATGGCTTCAACTCTGAATTCTCTTTATACTACTTTTCATTACAGCTGTCATTAGCGCCGTCTTGCTGCTGGTTCTGCACTAAAATCATGTCACAAGCTGCACAACAGGAGGTTCTGAAAATATCATCACTTACCAATTAATATGCAACGTAAAAGACAAATGTTGTGAAAAACAAGAGGGCCATTTGTCTGTCTGTCAAAGTTAAACAACACATTTTATAACTGATTTAGATTCTAGCAGTGAACCACTTACTAGCTAAAGTCTCGTTAACCAGGCTTTACTTGTTACCTATCACGTGGTAGTGTTAGCATTCTGACACTTTGGTTTATCTAAGCAACAAAATTGACTCCTTTCCTTAAGTACATAGTATGTAACAGGTTTAAATGGTTATGCTAGCATTGTGCTAACGTAACATTGAACTGAAAACTCATTTCTATTTTACGTTTGCTAAGAATTGACGTGTTAACTGTTGTATCCTATCTTAGATCATATCAGTAGCTTTAAGCCACTTAGCTCAAGAGTTAGTGTTGTTTAAGCATGTACATGTAACAACCTCCTAGCTGATGTAATGTTCGTTAGGAATTTACATCTTTCCAATTGTATCTTGTAACATTAAAACACAGGAAAATTATTAAATTATTTCCTGAAACGTTTATTAGTTACTTAGCTGCTAAATGCTAATAGGTTATCAGTTTTGTTGTCTCAACTTGAAAAAAAGCAAGATTTTCTCTGAATTTTCTCTGTTCGTTGTCATCCTGTTGTAAATCAAGATCTGATATAAATTAGGAAATTGGGTTATATGTATGAGGTTAAAGTAAAACAACATACTCTATTTGATAACCCATAAGCTAGTGCTATTGAACCTCTTCCTAACCATCATTACATTTACTAGGATTTTTTTGCCTTTCTGATTGCTTTGTGTTACACTACCAAATGGTAATCTAAGTTTTTAGCCAAATACTATCTTAGGGTGGTTATTAAGTGACTGAATGCTATTGTTAGCTTAAGATGAAAAATTTTGAGATTTACTCAGCAGTTTTCAATGTGCATTATCTTCTCAGTTGGTGAACAATCGAGCAATGGTCATGGGTTAAAAAAAAGGCATATTCCCTATGTGCACACCTAGAGGGTTTACAACCAGGAACACAGCAGATATAACAAAGCTTTTGCACCTCACAACCACAATATGACGTTGAAGTGGCAGCTGAATGAATATTGTCAATATTCAACTGAGAGATGGAGAATCTTTTGGTTTTTATTGTATGGATCTGTTGCTGTGGTTTAGAGACCACAGACTGGAGGTGCAGATGTTAACAACCCCTTATATCTAGTTAGGATACAGCCTGGTTGGGGGAAAAAAAGTCTCTTAAAATTATTTTGAAAAATGTTAATCATCTGAAAACAAACTCATTGAGGAGTTGTTTTTGTTTGTGGACATCCTTCAAAAATGGTAATTGCAGCATATCTGCTGTTTTCTCTCTTTTGACACAATTCTAGTGCAGTAAGCTTGACAATGCCTTTGACTAGCAAAAGCACCAAATTAAATATGCAGACCAAATGAATCATTTATAAGATCATCTATCTTGGCCTCCATGGTTGATGCTGCACTGTCCCAAACAGTCTAATCTTCTGTCATTATGATAACCACTATATCATTTGGATCTTTGCATTTAATGCTATGCTTGTGATTTTAATTATTATTATATTATATATATTATATTATAAGTATTTATTAAGACGATGCTACGAAAATCATTTCCAACTGAAACCTACTGGCTGTGTCCGTGATGTCTGTTAAAGACTTGTCACTAATTACGAGGTCAGCTGGCCGACCTTCTGCCCTTCTGCCCTCCTGATCATTGATCGTACAGTGATAAACCGAGACGAGGTCTCTGATAGCATTTTAGCATTTAACAGACAGGTGGCTCCTGCAAGGTCGAAGCCAATGTGAGGCTGTCATCTATAATTCATCGGGTGTTCCACCAAGAGATCACATCCATCCAGCCTTTGATAGAGAATCACCCCTAAGATATTCAGAGACCAGCAGATGGTTCGATCACAGAATATATTTTCATGATTCCGGTCCCCCCTCTACTGTTCAACTCAGTGACAAGCTGTGTCCCACTCCTTTAAGGAATACGATGGACAGATCTCACACGAAAGCATAGATAGTGGTGCTCAAATCATTGGATTGGGTTACTGTTGTTGTCAGCAGGCACTTTACAAGCCGTATAAAGAAAGCCTGTGCACCGGAGCTCACCCTCTCCAGAGGGCAAAGTCACTTGGAAGTTGGCAGCTTGTGTTTGTATTAAATCTCTCCAAAGTCTCCTGTTTCTTCCACTGAGGGAAACTCTTCTGAATGCACGGTTACATCAGGCTGGATCAGCGCTGCAGTGACCTTGAGTTACAGTTCTGATCAAAGCACGAACAAGGTGCAGCTTTGGATCACAGCAGGTGTAACATTGATTGACAAAGAAATCCTCAAGGGTTTAGTATTGATCAAAGTTCAGCTGTGCTCACCTACAGTATTAGTTGAGTCATTGATCCTGTGCTCTGACTTTGCTGACCCAGGACATTCAAACAGGTGTTTTGCATTACTATTTACAGCTTCATGATTGACTAAAGGGTTAATGAAAAAGCTAGAGATCTTCTCCTAAAGGGAGTGCTTGCATAGTGACAAATGGGCTTCATATTTTTGGCAGGAGTTAAGCTAAGCTTGTGAGGTCCTCCATCTGCTCGCTCAGCTCTGGAGAGGATGAAGGACAGACAGGTGGAGTCACTCTGATTCTCACAGGCGGTGACGGAGAATCAGGCATCCTGACACAGTGTGATTAAACACTCCTCCAGAAGAGGCATGTTCAGAAAAATCATTCTGTGATCATTTTTCAATTTCAATCGACATCCCGCAAATGCTGGGAATCCCTGATGTTATCGAGCAGCCAACACATATATTCATTCATTGTTGTCTCAGCTTTGAAAAAAACAAACAATTAAACGTCAACAAATATATTTTAATGTTAAATGGTTAATATTAACACAGTGAATTAGTGTTTTGACTTTATTGGATTTTGAGGATTTTGGTTAGTGTCGATTTTGGCGACCCCATAGGACAAAGTATCCCTTGTCACTCCTCAATAATCTGTGCAGTAGAAAACGTAAATAAAGGCTTTTTAAGCAGCATGCAGTTAATCACTTTGTCTGATACCCACTCTGTGGCAGTGGTTTCTGCCATTAAAATGAACTGGATGGAAATAAATATTTATTCTGATGGTCCTGTTTGCTTTTGGAGGTCATAAAAATAAATCACTTATAACTTCAGTCTCTTTTATGACTAACTAAAAAATGTCTGACAGGGACAGAGATAATACATAGATACATTTCTGCTTGTATTGACTACAGTTTTATTCAGCTCTAAAAAAAAAAAAGCCTATTTAGGCCCTGTTACAGTAAGACCCTGTTAGTCTAGACTAAAATAAGCGGTGACTCTAGATGCAGTCACATCATTGACATTTGTACCAAATTAATATCATTCCTTAATCTTTACAAAACTGCTTTTGGTGCCTAAAACTAACCACAAAAGAAAATGTAAAAGGAACTTAGAGGTTCCAGACCTATTGGCATGTGCTTATTGTTGATGTTAGGCTAATAGACCTCTCTATTGAAAATGTAACAATAAGCCACATTGCTGCATTTTTTGACACAAGCCTACAATTTCACAACCACTTTAGTTTTTATTAAGGTTGTTTCAACTCACTGCCCTGCTGATGTGAACTATCACAAATCCACAACTAAAACAGTCCCAAAAGTGTACACTCCTGTAGGAGAATCATGGCAAAAAAAACCCAGCTTCCAGCCATCTTAGGAAATAACAGAAATAATCTGTGTAGTCACAAGACTACCTTAAATTCACTACTATATGATTCTGCTTTCTTCGATTCAGCCCTGCCTCTGTAACAATTTCCCATCGATCATTTTAATATTTTAGAGCTGAGTCCCCTGACGGACAGGGCAAGAAATCATTCGGGGAGAATATGATTTACGACAGGTAAACCGCTCTGTTGCACTGCGTCAGCCCTGGAGGTCAATGACCAGACTTTGTGGGATGAAACGTGAGTCACGCATTTGTCCTGCTTAACGCCCATGAAAAATGAAGAAGGTGACCTGAGGTGTCACCGAGATCAGACAGCAAACGCTGCGCTGCCGGTAATTGACCACAGGCTGCTCCTCACATTATGTTTAAAACGATTATTTAGAGACGCATTAGGCGGCGTCCAGCTGTAGGACATTACAAAGATGAATCGTGGTAACAGTACACACAAAGTTCACTTTATTTCTCTGACGATAAGAAAGAGATTAGTTGAAATATGAAAGGAAAAGCCTCTAAAATAAAGAAAGATGCATACCGTTGGTTGCTGTTGTGCAGTTTTGCAAATTAAATAATCAGACACGAGCAGAGAAAGTATCCATGTCTATTTGGTGCATGAAGCAACACTGCAACCTGAAAACCTCTTTACATGTTCAAGTCCTGCAAACATAAGTATCACATGACAAGTAACTCATTAGTACGGCTTAAACGCATCATTATTGTCTTCAGCACTAATTATTTAGTCTACACGACATCAGACTGTTGTAAAAAAATGCTCATCACAATGTCCCATAGTCTGAGGTGACGACCTCATGTTGCTTCTTTCATCCAACCGACAGAAACCCAAAGACTTCTTCTTACATAATGACAAAAAGACCAATATTTACTTTCAAGAAGCTGAAACCA